AGTTTAGGAAATCAGAACATACCAAGTATAAGGAGGTAAGAGCGAAAGAAGTGGGACTAAGAGTCAGAGACTTTCGATTCAGTCACATGAAAATGAGTGGTCAGAAATGCTCGAACATCGGAAACGTGCACCTAACATTCCCTAACTTATCACCCATGAATGTATCCAGCTTCTGGATACTCCAATTCAATTGTTTTTCATGCATTGGTTATTACATTTTTCACTTAACGGACCTTAGAAATAGAACTCGATAATCGGTAACAGGCTAAGGTCAAAATATTCATGATATCGAAGGTAATGTGCGCAGACACAGTTGAACAATGATCATCGATACCGAGAAATTTGCATACACCATACCAGGTGGGGTATTCAATGAAATGCTATTTTGTGTACACTAATGAAGTCTGATCACTCATTCAGGTGAGCAGACCTCGGTGTACTGCAGTCATCCGACAAAAGGAATATGCGACTAGTGCAGACAATTTTTTGGTCTCATTTGCTTCGTTGAGAAAACCGTCTGAGTGGTTAACCATAATTTCGCATGACCGCAACTGGAGGAGGCCAAAGTTCACATCAGTTTGTATTGTGGATAATCGCATATAGTTATTGACATAATTCTGATAGTTAAACGAACGGGGGTCACGCGCAACACCGTGTATACAGGCACGTGAACCAAGCAAGGACTGGTAAGAAACTGCACTGGATATTGTCTTTCGAGACAAATAGCAGGAGCGATCCGGACGAACAGAGCAGTAGTGCACTTCGAAGCCGTGAAGTAAGAGTAAGTGTACAATGTCTCATGCAGATCAGGACGAAAACCGGGGCTGCAGGAGAAGCATAAACTAACGAATGAAAACGCGCAGAAAAAATAAATAAATAAATAAATAGACAATACGGGAATCGAGAGGGAAAAATCACAAGAACGACAAAGGTTGATATTATGTAGGTCAAATGAAATGGGTAACCAAGGGATGGTAGGGGAATGCAAACGGGTGTGGTTGGATCGAATGAGTTAATGCCTGATCCAAAATTACGACAAAAAGAACGCCAGTGATCTGTGCGATCATTAGCTGATTGGTCATCAAAATTAACGACCGCACTCAGTCAAACGATGAACAAGAAAGACACAGCAAATCACCTGAAGGTGTGCGTGTTTTGAGATTTTGTGCAAACCTAAACGGGATTAGTCCATCACAAAGGTAAGAATAGGCAAAGCAGAGAAAAAGCCTAGAATGGAGAGCTAGATTTGTTTATAACAAGGAACAGCTGTGGACAAGCAAACAGATTGCAGTGTTGAGAGATTCGGTCGCGAACTCAATGGCGAGGCATAGAACAGAACGGAACGGAACAGAACAGGGGATGAGGAAGCAAGAACGGTAACTGGTGTAGCAAGTAGAGTGCGGGGGTACCTACCGTAAAAGGGATACAAGATAGGTTCCGGCAAAGTACAGGCTATCCGTCTGACCTTGTGAACATGGATACATAGACGTGTGAAATTAAGTAAACACATATTTTCATGGCATCACATATCCTTCATCCGCATGTTCACCAGGTGCATATGCACCACCGAAGGCGATACGAGCCTCGCCTTGATTGTATCCTGGATCTTGCGTCGGAACCGCAACCATTTGCGGATGAGCGGACACAGGAGCAGCCACTGTCTTAACTCCTGTCATTGTGATGCGGAAACCGCCAGCTTGCTTCGATACACGGAACCGGGTCGCCAGCTCCGCGATGTAAACAGCCATGGCAGCAATGGAGAACACCTGTGAAGATAATCAGAACGCTGTAGTCAGGTACATATCTATCATTAATGATGGTCACTTTCAGAAAATCAATAGCTTTGACAAAGGCTGTAATAAGATACTGAGAACAAGTCTCATGGTGCACATCAAAACGACACGTCCGAATACTACTGATTGTCACGAAATCGAAATACATAAGATCAAGATATCTCCCCATGTTAAAAATCAACAAATACTTGTCTGTTTGGTCACCTGCTAAACGCTTTGTTCGTAATATTTGGATATACGAGGGAACAAGGTAAGTCAAAACGGTAACAGTAAGAATGATGTACCACAAGATTTATCATACAAATAAAAATATTCAGGAACTAGTTACAACTGTGCGAGCGGAAAACTGGGCACGGATAAAACTGAGGGAAGCTGTGTGAATACCATAGCGGACAAAACAGTTGTCATATATATATATATATATATATATATATATATATATATATATAAGTTCAA